AAAAGGCTTGTAGGATGCCAGTTAGGAGTGGGTAATATGGTTGGGAATTCTTCCCCAGTAGGAGGCAGAAAAGACAACCAGAAAGAAGCTTCTGGGCTGAAAAGAAGGCTGGGTAAGACTGTGAAAATGGACAAGGAGTGGCTGGGGTGAGAGGAGAGAGGTCTAACATTGTGGCTGGCCTGTCCCTAGCCCGCAAGAACTCAGGAGACCTGAGTGAGCCAGACTGCTCGGGAATGTGAGAACGTTTACATCTCCTCCCGCACACCCACGCAGCCATACTTTCTCTGTTTATTTATAGTTCCCTCTTCACACAAACAAACTTGCTCCCCCCTGAGACATAAGCTCTACTCTGGGCTCTGGCACCTGATGGGGGAGGCCTCTTAAGGGAATGGAGAGAAACCTCTGCTACTCAGTGGCTACGCTGTGCAACCTAGAGAAAGGCACTGCACTTCTCTGAACCTGACGCCTTGCATCTGGCACATGACAGATGTACAGGACCATAAAAGGGCCTCAAAAGAGAGAATGGGCCAACCGGGAAAGGCAGCTCTGTTACTTGTCAAGGGGCAGGGGGTATGGATGGAATTGTGCACAATCTATTCTGCCTTGGACATACATGCTTAGAGTCATAGAATCTTAGAAAGTTAGGGACTAAGAGATGACGCCCAGTCCCCTCATTTTACAGATGTGGAAACTGAGTCCCAAAGAAGAATCGGGACCTGCCTAAGACTGTTGATTCATGCCATTACAAACTCCAATGCCAGTCTTCAGATCTGGAGAGGATGCTCGTAGGGACACCCATCCCCTAGGAGACAGGACAAGAAGAAATGGCTCTAACTAGCAGACAGAAGGATTCAGATGAAGCATGAGAAAGAACTCAGGAATACAAGGATGGGGCTGAGTCCTTCCCAGAGACAGGGGTCTGCCTGCAGCGGTCTCTGCACTACACCTCCCAGGGACAGCACCCTCAGGCCAGTCCTTTTCTTGGGGAGTGCAAGGGATTCCAGGTCCTTCTCCCAGAGCCTGGCGCCGTGCTCGGCGGATGGGGGAACTTGAGAGGCCAGTCTTGGAACAGGTGCAACAGCTGGAGCGTACACTCAGCTGTCGCCAGGCTCCGGCTCAGCAGCCTGGAAGCTGGTGAGTGAGGCAGAGACCTCTACTGGTGGGAAAGGGGAGGTGCAGAACGGCCTAGTCAGCCGCAGAGAGGGGCTGCCTGGAGCTGAACTTCAGGCTTTCATCCAGGTGCCTGCCACCGCCTCACACCGGGCAGGTGGATAGGGATGCCAATAAGCTGGACAGCAGCGCAGGGTCCCCACTGGTGGGTCTCCCACTACACCCACTGCCCCAGGCCCTCCAGGCACTTTTTCCTGGTGTCTGAGGGTTTGTCAGGGCAGGGGTACCTACACTCTCCCAACTCCCTATTCCAACAGTCAAAGCAGATTCAGAATCAAGACCACATCTCTGGATCTTCGTATCTTAGATTCACAGGCTGTTAAAGCTATAACAGTCCTCAGTGATCATCCATCTGAGTCCAACCCTCTGACTTTACAGGTGGGAAAACAGAGAGGTAGAGAGAGGCAGGGTCCCAGTCAGAATAGGTGGCAGAGCCAGGAGTGGAGCCCTGACTTTTTGATTCCCGGTTTGCCCTCCACACCACATCGTGGGTGCTCACTTTCCCCTGTTTGCTTCTAGGGTCTGGGACTCCATCGCCTGCTTCAGTTCCCGTAAGACACAAAACCTTTGAAGAACAGAGGGACCGATGTTTTTTCTTAGTAACTGAAATCTCTCCTGAGGGCAGCATTGGGTGGAGGGAAGCAGACTCATGCTGGGCACCGAAAAGGAATGGTTAGTCGGGGAAGAGCATGAAGGAGAGGAGCTGAGAAGAATCGGGAACAAGCACTGGAAAGAGTTAGAAAACTATTTAGAGGGGACGAGTGGCTCAGCCTGGTCAGTAAACAGGTCAGGGACCCATCCTGGGTCAGGGGTCTACCTGGGGGTGCAATCAGGGTTGAAACTCAATCTAGGATCTGTTAGGATCAGGGTTCAATCTATGGCTGCAAACAGAGTCAGAGATAGAAAAACTTTTGCTGAAATAGCCTTGTACTTGAACTGAGGTGCAAGTCACTATGGGTGCCCACAGGCCCTTGGTGTTCTGCAGTGCTTGGCCACCTCAGGAGACCAACACTCTATAGTCTTGAGAATTTGGCACCAATTTCAAAAGCACCTAAGATGTCACCAGGAGATTTTTCTTTCTCCCCCACAAAAGGTTTGAGATCTCACTTAAACTAAGATGAGGACCTTCATAAGAGACCTTCAAATACCATCCTGGCAAATGACTACAGGATTGTTTCTAGATTCATAGATGACCAGCACCAGACAAAAATGAAGCTCAGAGAAGTAATTTTTTTTTTTTTACCAATTCACACAGCTAACGAGTGACAAATTAGAAATTCAGGTCCAGATCTGTTTGATTTTTCTTTTAGAGATGAGGTCTTACTATATTGCCTAGACAGGTCTTGAACTCCTGAGCTCAAAGGATCCTCCTGCCTCAGTCTCCCAAGTAGCTGATAGCTGGGACTACAGGTAAAAGCTACAGCTTCCAACTTCTGTTCTTTTCTTTAATAAATTTGCTGTGTGACCTTGAGCAAGTGACCCCTCGTTTTTGGGTTTCAGTTTAACTCTAAAGATAGGTAAACTGATGGGCAGAAGCAGATGATTTTCGAAGGTTCTTCCAGCTCTGACATCGTAGAATCATAACATTCCCCAGTGAATGCCAATCCATCTCACCCTAATGAGTTGGCTTCGTGTCTTTTTCTCACATGTCTGGAGCTCTATATTTACAAGGCTATAGAGGAGATGGAATACTGGCAGGACCTACTGAGAGGTACAGGCCAGGGAGGCATGGAGGAGGAAAGATCAGAGAGGATCAAGTCACCAGGGAGAGTGTGCTGGAAGAAGCGTGACCTAAGTAAGGGCAGGCAAGATACGGGAGGCAGAGTGGAGGGTGAGGGTAGGACATGAGCAGTCCTGCACAACCACCTAGTTCTAGGACATCTTCCCAAGATGCACCAAGGGAAATGGCATCTGGAGAAAAGCCTTGGGGGATAAGAACAAGGTTTCAAGTGAAAGGGAGGCAGGCATGGAAGGCATCCTGTGCAAAGTCTCTTTTAAGAAACAGCAGGCTGGTGTTAGCAGGAAACCCGCAGGGTTCAAGGATGGGGAGGAGGCATTTACTGAGAATTTGGCATTATGCTGGGCACTATGTATGCTGGACATTATAACACATTACCTCCTGTTATCCTCCCAAATGTTCAGTGTCCAGGTTAGTATTTCTCTTAGATGAGGAAATTGAGGTTTAGAGAAGCTGTGACCTATAAAATGTCACCCAAGGCCAGGTGCCGTGGCTCATGCCTGTAATCCTAGCACTTTGGCAGGCCGAATCAAGAGGATTGAGCCCAGGAGTTCAAGACCAGCCTAGGCAACATAGCAAGACCTCATCTCTACCTACCAAAAAAAAAAAGCCAGGTGTAGTGGTGCCTGCCTGTAGTCCCAGGTACTCAGGAAGCTGAGGTGGAAGGATCACTTGAGCCCAGGAGGTCGAAGCTGCAGTGGGCTATGATCGTGCCACTACATTCTTGCCTGGGTGACAGAATGAGATTCTGACTCAAAAAAAAAAAAAAAAAGTCATCCAGCTTATGGGGCAGATCCAGGACTTGAACCCAACATTGAGCTCTTCACACTCCTTATTCCTGAGGATTTCTATGAGTCTCATGCTGCTGGCAAGCCTGCTCACTGAAACAGAATCCAGCACCACCAGCTCCAGAAAGTCACATGCAAAAGAAATGCATGGACAGAGGAGCTGAGCTGTGGGGAGGACTCAGCACCAGGCTGAGAGTTGGGAAACTGGAGTCTTAATCCCAGGTTCTGCCCTGGTAGGACCTGGAGCCAGCTACCACCCACCCCTCTTTGGCCTTGGTGTCTTTATCATGACCTAAGCTCCTTCCTTCTCATTAATAGAATCTTTGGTTTGGTTTCCCATCCTCACGGCATTCAAAGAGATTGGTAGGGGATGGAGAGGGGGTCTACCAGCCTGTTGTGAAGGCAGCGAGGAAACTGAGGCTCAGAGAGATTATATAACTCATTTGAGGGTTGTACTATGTCTAAGAGAAGAGCAGGACTCAGGGAACTGATATTTTTTGAGAGGCTACCATGCACCAGTCTTGTGCTAGCGGCTTTACCTATTTTCTCTTACTTAATCCTATCAACAGTCCTAGGATTTTTTACTTCCCATTTTATAGATTAGGAAACTGAGGGTGAGAGAGGTGCTCTCCGTGACTGCCTCCCACCAGCTGGTACCCAACAGGAAGTGCGATGATGAAGACCCTGATCTATCTCACTGTGCCCTGCTGCCTCCTAGAATCTCACAACGCCAACCGAGGGTCCCTTCCAGACACTGTGGGGCAGAGGAAAACCGTAGCGTTTGAATGAGAGTGTTCTGGCTTTGGATGGCTTACTAGCTCTGTACGATTTAGCGAGTTCCTTCTCCTTGCTCAGCCTGAGTTTTCTCATCTGGAAAATGCAAGTGATGATACCCACCTCATTGCGGTGTTGTGCAGGTTCTGCTAGTTAGCTCTTATTTCTTTCCAAGGGCTCTTTCCAAATGCAAAAGGCTTTCCCTCTTCATCACACTCCTTACCTGTGGCCGACCACACCCGACTCTCTACTGGGAATATTAAGCCTCCCCCACCCTATGTGCCCCCAAAGCACAGTTCCCTGCTGCCCTCAGTCCCCTCATCCTCAGGCCCACAAAACCATCCCCCACAGCTCTGAGCCCGGCCGAGCCCCTCCGGCCCCCCAGCCTCTCCAGTCCACACGGGTCGGCAGAGGAGTCTCCACCCCTCCCGGCACAGGTGCTGCCTGGATGGCTGTCCCGGCAGCCCGGGGTCCAGGCTCCCGCACGGTCCTGCACATTCCAGGGGCCGCATCCCTCCCCTTCTACTTACGGGCTCGGGCGTGGGAGTCCAAGGGGAACCAGAGCAGCGCGAGTCCCAGCAAGCAGGAGAGGACCCTCACCTCGGGAACCATCCTTCCTTCCCCCAGGGCCAGGCCGCCGGGCTGAGTCGGGAGCAGACGGGATGCAGAGGACACTGGGGCACGGGCAGCCCACAGACCCTGCGAGGGCTGCTGCTACAGGGAGCCAGAGAAGAGTCGAGAAGTTGGTGAGAAGCAAGGGGGGTCGGGGG